CCGCTGTGAGTCGCCTTCGGGCTTGAGATACAGCGGTATATAAGCAAAGTAAATAAATAAATAAAATAAATACAACTCCTATAAACCACGGTGAATTCTCCTCAAACTTCTCTAGTATGTCCAATTACTGATCAATTCCTCTATTTGCTGTGTGACATAGAAAATTATAGGAAAGGGTTATGGGAGAAGCAGTGGGTGGGGTCATGCAAATTCCACACCAATGGAGAGAGTAAGAAACACTGGGATGCCTGTGGTGGAGGGAAAACAGAAACTCTAGGATGAAATTGTCCCCATATGAAAGCCTTTACTAGGATGGTGGGCAGTTTGGTATTTGTGGAGAACAGTAGCAGGGCTCTTGTACATGTTCATGGCACTTACTATAACCTGCAATTGAAGGGAGGGTCTTTGGTGTCTCCTGAGTAGTGGGAGCTATAGCTGTTTGTGGAGGTGGGAAGTTGTCTGTGTAAGTGGACACTGGACACCCCAGCCACATAAACACATACATATTTTCACTTTTATTTTGTGTGTGTGTGTTGGTACGGCTGTACCAGGAGCTCCAACTTTATTTTCTTTCTGTTATCTGTTTGCAGTCATAGGGCAGGCCTCCTGTCCATCATAATTAAGCTTTGGTTCCGCCCCTTGTTCAGGGCTCTGGGAGGGAAAGGAGCCATTTTTTGGGCAGTCCCACATAAGGAAGCTATAGGATGTAGAACAGCTCGTCCCATAGAAAAGCTTCTTTTCTCAAGAACATCCGGGGAAACAGAAACAAAAATTCCAGGGAAAAGGTCCCAAGGCTCTGGCTGAGAGCTCACAGCCTCTCAGCCTCACAGCAATCAGAGGGAAAACAGCCCTAAAGTTTCAAAGAATTCTCTGAGGGATGACAGCACTACAGATCCACGGAACCCCATCTGAAATATCTACAAGCCTCGGCAGGTAGGTCTACTCGATACCCAGACGCATTTGGAATCGGTAGTAGGACCCACACGGATGAGGCATAGATAGTAAACAGCTTGGGAGAGGTTAAAAAGGGTTTTTCCTACAGAGAAGGTTCAGTTAATCAAAGTTAGGTATCAGCCCATTGAGGATTAGACTAAGAAAGCCTTGAAGAGTTGTTTGAACCATTGAAATGTTGATGTTTGTTCCATAATAAAGATTTTGTTGTATCATTAAAGACTCTAAAGACCACCACTTCAAAAAAATCCCTGAGAACCTCTCTTTGAGGCGCCCTGGCTTCCCGCTGGGCTCAAAGTATACATCCTATAGAAAAGACAGCTGTTACAGGCCCAGCGCGCGATAGAACAGTGCGTGTGTGTGTATGTGTGTGTGTGTATAACTTAGGGACTGCCTGTACAAATAAAATATAGGCACACAGTTTCTCCTGATTTAGTTGATCAAATGCATTATCTTAACAACACAATTATAGCTCCTAAACTTTAAACCCCAAATATATCTCAAAATATTACTCTCTGTATGCTGTCTTGTTTTTGCTGCGACACTACTGAACAAAAGGCAAGAGGAAACAAGAGTTAGCCTCATGTATTCCCTAGGGCCGTTCATTATCTATACTTGGATTAAGCTGAATTAAACTCCTTTCCATCATCGTTTTGATTTACCTCTGAAAATACAACTTACCTGAAAGCTTCAATTATGTAGGAACTGACAGGCGCACCCCCACTCACAGGGCTTGGCTTCCAGATCAAAGCCACACTATTTTTGGTGACGTCCGTGACCAAAGGTGCAGAGGGGGGTCCAGGGAGAAGATTTGGCTCTGGAAACTGTATTTGAAGATCTCCCCCATTCTCTAGAGAGAGAGAAAATGTTTGGGACAAAAATGTGAGAATAGCAGTATGGATCAAATCAGTCATGGAGAGCTTTTATACCAGATGAAGGAGGAATTCGATCTTACATGGTTTCCTCTCTGCTCTCCCAAAATGAACATCAATGTACTTTGCCTGCATCAGAGTGGGTGAAGTGTAGCTCTCCAGATACTATAGATAGAAAACTCTCATCTGACCTCTAGCCAAAATAGCCTGGGAAAATGGCTGTTAATAAGCACCTACACTTCATCCACCTTAGCCTATGTCCTTTACATCTACAAACATGTACAAGCAAGGGATGCACAAAGTGACACTGTGAAAGATGCATAGGAACACATTCTGAATTGGAATTGATTCACTGAGCAACACATATTTTGGTGCCTCTAATGTTAACCCTGTATCTGGGTATATTTCACTTGCTGATTCCAAAAATGGTACTGGGTTTCTCCCCGTCAGTACTAGTTTTTGAGATAGAGAACATATACCATCCAGGACTGGGCTGTGGCACAGCTAGTCCATAGCCAGCTGCATTAAATCAGTACTGACCAAGAGGTCATGAGTTCGAAGCCAGTCCATGTCGGAGTGAGCTCCCAACCATTAATAAGCTAGCTTATTGTCGACCTATGTAAGCCTGAAAGACAGTTGCATCTGTCAAGTAGGAAATTTAGGTATCGCTTTATGCAGGGAGGCTAATTTAACTAATTCATGACACCATAAAACCTTCCAGCACTGTGCGTGCCTAAGAATGAGGAAGTATATCATCAAGGACTCAGTGTTACAAGTGGATGGTGAAGCGGCAGCTCCCCCTGTGACCGGAATCGAGAATACTCTCATGAAGCCGGAAAAGCTGGAATGTTAAATTGTTGTGGCTCAGTCTGAACCTGAGTTTCCTCAGGACGAGGAGGAGGATGGGTTACAAATTTCTGAACATGTTCCGGTTAGTGAGGCAGCTGAAGCAGACAGTGTTGATTCTGAAGAAGAGACGGCATTTCTGTTCCCCAGGGAAAAGAATGTGGCTTTAGATAAAGATAGTGAAACTTCGGAGCTCCAGGTGGAGGCTCCTTCTGGGAGCTCCGGGCCTCTTGTTTCCCAGGGTGACCAGACACGGCAGGGCAAAGATAATGAGCTAATTAGCCTTGAAGATAGTGGAGATTTGATTAGAGAGGACCGCTTGTAATGAAGAGTTCGGAGAAGTGCATGCCTTGCCAACAAGCGTGAAGTTAGAGGTCAACGTAATGCTTTCATGTTGGGGAAACTTATTTAATGATCTGGTCAAAGGGCATTCTCTGTCAGTCCAATGTTGCTTTTACCCTGTTAACTTCTGTGGAATTACCTTGGCTTTTGCGGAAAGCTTCTGGCTCTTTGGGACTTTGATTTTGATCCTGATTTTTGGAGACTTTGTCTTGTTGCCATGGACTCTTGTTTAACCAATGCTAAAGGACTATGCTTCATGTTATCTGCCTTTGGAACCTGGATACTTTGCCTTTGCATTTAAGACTCTGTTTTGCCTATTGAACTTTTGCATCCTTATTTCTTTGTTTTGATTTTGTTTTTTCTCAATAAATTACAAAACCTACAGCCTTGATATGTGGTGGTGTCTTGAGCAAGGTGAATCTATCCTGAGTTACGACATAAATTGCCCCTGTGTATGTCTATATATATTGTATGTCTCAATGGCCTTGAATGTTTGCCATGTATATGTGCATTGTAATCTGCCCTGAGTACCCTGCAGGGTGAGAAGGGCAGAATATAAATACTGTAAATAAATAAATAAAATACCAGTTAACATCTGCTTGTCCATAGAAAATCATGATAACCATATCTATGAAACTTGAGCTGAAGTGGTCTAGCCAATACAATTTTCTAAATCAGTGCCCCAAATAACCCAAGAACAGGCCTAAAACAAACACCAAGACTTTTTTTTAGGTTGGGGACTGTGCTATGCATTGGGACCAATGTCTAATAGTAATTCTGTTGGTACTGCTTATACACTTATTTAGGCAATCCCTCATTGTCCGAGTAGGATAGTCTTCCAGGATCAGTGTACTGGCGGTGGGTCCATAAGTGACTGTGGAGCCCTATTCTTGATTTGCATCTTCTCTTGCAGTGAGGGCATTGGTTTCCAGGTGGAAGGCTGTCCTGTTCGGGGTTGGCTGGATGTGCTTTCCTCTTGGCAAATTTCTCTCTTTCATGCCTCTTCAAATTCTACAGCACTGCTAGTCACAGCTGACCTCCAGCTGGAGTGCTCAAGAGCCAGGGTTTCCCAGTTCTCAGTATCTATGCCAGAGTTTTAAAATCTCTTTTCCTGCCCACCAACATTCTGTTTTCCATTCTTGAGTTCAGAGTAGAGCAACTGCTTTAGCAGACGGTGGTCAGGCAACTCGACAACGTGGCCGGTACAGCGGAGTTGATGGCGGAGGACCATCGCTTCAATGCTGGTGGTATTTGCTTCTTCCAGCACGCTGACATTTGTTCGCTTGTATTCCCAAGAGATTTGCAGGATTTTTCAGAGGCAATGCTGATGGAATAGTTCTAGGAGTTGCATGTGATATGGGTAGACAGTCCACGTTTCGCAGGCATATAGCAGGGTTGGGAGGACAATAGTTTTATAAATAAGCATTTTGGTATCCCTATGGATGTCCCGGTCCTCAAACACTCTCTGCTTCATTCAGAAAAAAGCTGCACTCACAGAGCTCAGGCGGTGTTGTATTTCAGTGTCAATGTTGACTTTTGTGGAGAGGTGGCTGCCAAGGTAGCGGAAATGATCAACATTTTCTAATGTTACACCATTAAGCTGTATTTCTGGCATTGGAGAGGGATTGGCTGGTGACTGCTGGAAGAGCACTTTGGTTTTCTCGATGTTCAGTGACAGGCAGAGCTTCTTGTATGCTTCTGCAAAGGTGTTTAGAGTAGCTTGTAGGTCTTCTTCTGAATGTGTACAGACAACATTGACATCAGCATATTGGAGTTCTATAACAGTGTACAGTGGTCCTAATTGCATAGCTGTATTTCTGAAGCCTCTCGAAAATGCAAACGTTGTATTGTCGAAGGCTTTCATGGCTGGAATCACTAGGTTCTTGTGGGTTTTTTCGGGCTATATGGCCATGTTCTAGAGGCATTTCTCCTGACGTTTCGCCTGCATCTATGGCAAGCATCCTCAGAGGTAGTGAGGTCTGTTGGAATTAGGAAAATGGGTTTATATATCTGTGGAATGACATGGGTGGGGCAAAGAGCTCTTCTCTGCTGGAGCTAGGTGTGAATGTTTCAGCTGACTACCTTTATTAGCATTTGAAGGCCTGGCTGAGCCTGGGAAAATGTTCTGTTGAGAGGTGTTAAGCTATGCCTGGTTGTTTCCTCTCTGCTGTTTTGATGTTGTAATTTTAGAGTTTTTTAATACTGGTAGCCAGATTTTGTTCATTTTTATGGTCTCTTCCTTTCTGTTGAAATTGTCCACATGCTTGTGGATTTCAATGGCTTCTCTGTGTAGTCTGACATGGTGGTTGTTGGAGTGGTCCAGCATTTCTGTGTTCTCAAATAATATGCTGTGTCCAGGCTGGTTCATCAGGTGCTCTGCTATGGCTGACTTCTCTGGTTGAAGTAGTCTGCAGTGCCTTTCATGTTCCTTGATTCGTGTTTGAGCAATGCTGCTGCGTTTGGTGGTCCCTATGTAGACTTGTCCACAGCTGCATGGTATACGGTAGACTCCTGCAGAGGTGAGAGGATCCCTCTTGTCCTTTGCTGAACGTAGCATTTGTTGGATTTTCTTTGTGGGTCTGTAGATTGTTTGTATGTTGTGTTTCCTCATCAGCTTCCCTAATCGGTCAGTGGTTCCCTTGATGTATGGCAGGAACACTTTTCCTCTGGGTGGATCTTCATCTTTACTCTCGTGGCTTGTTCTCGGTCTTGCAAACGTTGCTTTGCACAGCTGTAATTTTGTTTCCAAAGACCTAACTTCCCAATAAAAGGCCAGCCTATTGTGTTAAAAACAGCAACATACCCGTGAGGAGTTTCTGTGTTTGTTTTTAATCCCTTATGGCCTTTCCTTTGACTGGAAAAGGCAGGAAGGCTTAGCTCATCAAGCAGCGCTTCCTCCATGCTCGCCTTCCGCTAAGCCAAACCAACCAGCTGCCGCAGGGCAGGGTTAAGGAAGGTCTGTGCCTTTATTTCTGCCTAGGCCTGTTAACCTGCCAAGAGACGAGACTCTGGCATTAGTCTTGGGGACAGAGTCTACCCGAAGCGCTGCTCACATTGGTTTTGCAATTAGCAGGTCCATAAATGGGCAAGAGCTCCAAAGTTTTTGATACGAACAGGAAATCTAGCAAATTTGCTTTTTTACCATCTTACTTTCCTGGATTACAACTGCCAGAAAACTCTATCCAAAATGGCCCAGGGATACAAGGGCTTTAGATCCCATAATTTACTTTTCCACACCCTAGATATGTCTTTTCCAATGCCAATATAGTAGAAAAAACCACACAGATCTCAGGAAATCTGGCGCACCATCAGTTGTTCTTTGCAGTATATTTTTCCTTTTAGGTTTTTTTTTAAACTGCTTGGTTTGGTTCTTGCAGCAAAGAATGTATTTGCTGGCAAGAACTCAGGATAGTTGGTTGCTTTTAAAATGAGCCATTCTTATATAAGGATGCAAGGAGGTCTTCTCCTCGGGAATGCAGAGATGTTCATTGAGAGGGGGCAATGCCAACCCTTGGCTTTCAAGGAGAAATGTTGGGGGAGATGGAGGTGGGGTACAATAATAATAATAATAATAATAATAATAATAATAATTATTATTATTATTATTGGGAGCATACTATGCCCCTATTAAAGCAGCTCTACAAGCTTCTGACAAGTTTCCGAGGCCAATTCAAAGTGAAGGCTATCACCTATAAAGCCCTATACGCTTCGGGTCCAACATATCTTTGAGACCACATCTCTTTCTATGACAGTGATGGGCAATCTTTTGAGCTTGGTGTGTCAAAATTTGCCAAAAACCTGAGCATAACTCTGGTGGGGTGTCAACTTCGAGAAAAAATAAACGTCATTTTGCAATATTTATAGTTTAAATAAGAAAAAATGTATATTCCATGCTGAGTTATGGAGTGAACAATGCTCAAATGTGAAGATGTGAAATTTGTAAAGTCTTTTACAAATTTAAGGATGGAATTATAAGGTGTACTTCTCTGTGGCCGCGTGTCATCAAAAATAGCCATGTGTGTCAGTGCTGACACGCGTGTCATAGGTTCACCATCATGGTTCTATGAACTGGCATGGGATATGAAATCTGCTGGGGAGGCCCTACTCGGTCTCGCCAACGTTTCAAGTATAGTTGGTGGGGACGAAAGAGAGGGTATTCTCAGTGGTAGCTCCCCAGCTCTGGAATGCTCTCCCTAGAAAGATTAAATTAGCCCCCACTCTCCAAATCTTTCTAGCCTAAAAACATGGCTTTTAAAACGGGTCTTTGATTTTGAATAGCCTGAAATGGGTGTATGTGAGGACTGATTGTTCACTTTGGAACTTTAGTTTGTTAATTGATGATAGCCAGTTTTATCAGTGGGTACTACTGCATTTTATAATTTTAACAATTTTATTGTTATGTAATGTTATATGTGTTCATTGTGGTTGCTGCTATAATTTTATATTGTTATTGTTTTATGCTTATGTATTGTTTATTTTATATGCAGGACTCTGGAGTGCTTTTGAGAGCTGACCCGACTCCCTTCCAGGAGATAGTGGTGGAGTATAAATAAAGTTTATTATTATTATTTACTAGCTGTCCCCTGCCACACATTGCTGTGGCCCTGTCTGGTGATCTGGAAAATAAAGTAATGGTTTCTAATCTATGCAATTTCTTTCTACTTGTGGGTAAACAGTATTTCTTGTTGTTTCTTTGTCAGTGTTGATGTGAAGATTGCCTGGTTTGCATATTTTGGAACATGTAACATATAATTGTCCTTCTTTAGGTTCCCTTTCAAATCTATGATACTATATCTGTGTGTGTGTGAATCATATCTATCTATATCTAGGGCTGGACAGCTCTTTGTCAGGAGGGCTTTGATTATGTTTTCTAGTGAAGGGAGTTGGACTGGCTGGTCTTAAGTATTTTGTGTTGGTCATGGGGGTTCTGTGTGGGAAGTTTGCCCTGATTCTGTCATTTGTGGGGTTCAGAATGCTCTTTGATTGTAGGTGAACTATAAATCCCAGTAACTACAACTCCCAAATGTCGAGGTCTATTTCCCCCAAACTCCATCTGTGTTCATATTTGGGCATATGGAATATTTGTGCCAAGTTTGGTCCAGATCCATCATTGTTTGAGTCCACAGTGCTCTCTGGATGTAGGTGAACTACAACTCCCAAACTCAAGGTCAATGCCCACCAAACCCTTCTAGTGTTTTCTGTTGGTCATGGGAATCCTGTGTGTCACCTTTGGTTCAATTCCATCATTGGTTGAGTTCGGAATGCTCTTTGATTGTAGGTGAACTATAAATCCCAGCAACTATAACTCCCAAATGACAAAATCAAAAATTTTTGAGTGAAGGACATACATTGGGTTGTTAGGTGTATGCTGTCCAAATTTGGTGTCAATTCGGCCACTGGTTTTTGAGTTCTGTGGATCCCACAAACGAACATTACATTTTTATTTATATAGATTATTGTGGCATGAATGCAGATATACTTGTTTGGTCCTCCTATGCATTTGTTTCAGAGCAATACAAATAAGAACGTCATAAACTCTGTTTAGATGCTTTGCGTTTGTTTCAAAAAGAAAGTTACCCTGCAAAAGAATAAAGCAAGCAGACCCAAGAAGGTGAGGCCAAATAAAATGCACACTCTTGGAGTATCCGCCCTGAGTGGCCTGTGGGCTGAGAGGGGCAGTATATAAATATAGTAAATATAGTAAATAAATAAATAAATATCCTCCCAATATGTCTGGCCTTCATTTGACATGACCAACCTTGCACTGCCAGAAATCCACTCCATCTTGTCTCGCCTGTGGAACTTGTAGCGATGCAAACGTACAACCCAGAGTCCGAAATCTGAAACATTGAAGAAAGTAGTATGTTATTCTTCTCCAGCTTCTCCAAGCGGGCGAAAGGAGAGGGAGAGAGAAACAGTGTGCTGCTGCCTGCCTGTCTCTTTAAGGAAGGAGCACATCTTGGGACGGAGCCCTCGGCTGCGCGCGCCTGCCTCCCTCCCTCCACCAAACGTCCCAAGATGTGCTCCTTCCTTAAAGAGACAGGCAGGCAGCAGCACACTGTTTCTCTCTCCCTCTCCTTTCGCCCGCTTGGAGAAGCGAGCAAGCAAGCTCCCACAGCCAGATTTGGCACTTAAGTTGCTTCAGCCGCCCCTGATGCAGCTAATACAGTACTTCACTCACTATGCAGCCGCATGTGGAGGAGGAGGAGTGTTGAAAAACGGGGAGAGGGGAAAGAGGGCGGGGAGAGCAGCCCAGGCCGAGAAAGAGGGGAATGGCACCACTCCGGCAGCCTCCATCCCATTAACGAAACGAGCGGAAGCTCGTTAAATTTATGGGGGCTGCCGGTTCGATATTTTTAAACCCTTCCGGGTTTGAAAATGTGTTTTGATATTGCTTCAAAAATGCAAAAATAACGAATTAATAACGAAATAACTAAAAAACGAATCAAAACCGACAGGCCTATTCTCCACCCATGACCTGTTGCAACTCTAGAAGGAAACTCTGGAAGTTTCTTTCATTCTTCTTCTTCTTCATCATCATCATCATCATCATCATCAATTACTTATTAATTGCCCTCCATCTGAGATGCTCCAGGCGATTTACATAGCAGAAATTATACAGGATAAAACACATACATACAAATATTAAAATTAACATGGGTCAAATGCTCTAGTAAAAAGCCAGGTCTTAAGTGCTAGGATAAAATGCCCTAAGTCACGCATGGCTCTCAAATAGGGAGGCAAGGAATTCCATAAGGCAGGGGCAGAAATAGAGAAGGCCCTGCGTCTGGTGCTTTCCAAGTGCACTTCCCTAGGACCCGGTATATAGAGCAAATCGCGTTGGGATGGTCATGGCGACCTCCGATGATGGTAGAAGGAGAGACGGTCTCTAAGATACAATGGACCCTGGCCATATAAAGTTTTAAAGGTCAGGACCAGCATCTTATACAAACCACGATACTCAATTGGGAGCCAGTGTAGATGCCGCAGCACTGGTGTTATATGGCATTTCATGGGTGTTTTTGTGAATAACCTGGCTGCAGCATTTTGGACAATACGGAGCTTTCGGGTCGTAGAAATAGGAAGGCCAACATACAAGGCGTTACAATAGTCCAGCCTAGATGTGACCGTGGCATGGATGACTGTTGCCAGAGCCTCATCCGACAGGTAAGGTGCCAGTTGCCTCACTTGTCGTAGATGGAAAAAGGCCTGTTTGCTGGCAGCAGCGACCTGAGCCTCCATCGTCAGCTGCGAATCCAAAACGACACCAAGGCTCTTAACGGTAGGCGATGGAGATAGAGCAGTGCCATCAAAGGTAGGTAACGGATGGGTCGGACCTATCGGGCGGCCATGCCACAGGATCTCAGTCTTCACCGGATTCACCTTCAGTCTGCTAGCACGTAGCCAGTTCGACAAAGCCTCCAGGCATAAGGTGAAATTGTCAGGTATTGACGTTACTCCAGGCTCCAAGCACAACAGGAGTTGGGTGTCGTCCGCATATTGATAGCAGTCCAGGCCGAATCTCCGAGCCAAACTGGCAAGGGGTCTAACGTAGATGTTGAAAAGAAGAGGGGAGAGAATTGCACCTTGGGGTACCCCGCATAGGAGGGGGGAACTTTCAGAGACTTGGTCCATATATTCCACGCACTGACTCCGATTTCGGAGGAATGAATTGAACCAATTGAGGGCCTCACCGCGAACTCTGGACATGGCGAGACGGTGGATCATTAAATCGTAGTCAACAGTGTCAAATGCTGCGGTAAGATCGAGAAGTATCAGAAGTGCCAATCCGCCGCTATCAGACTGACGACAAAGTTCATCTGTAATAGCAACTAGGACCGTCTCCGTCCCATGACCCGGGAAAAAACCTGACTGGAAAGTGTCCAGGCCAGATGTGTCATCCAAAAATTGCTGTAATTGTCCCAATACAGCCCGCTCTATCACCTTACCTAAGAATGGAAGATGGAAGCTGGAGCTGAAACTCTTGTCTCTGAAACTCTATGTTCTACAGATCTCCTTGTGAGGAAGAAAGACAATCACAAAGAAAGAGCAGCTGGTTCAAGAGCATTTTTGTTCCTGGAGTCCTGGAAAAATGAGTGGTGTGGCTCAAAGCAAACCAACTGACAATGGCTGCATTCATTTCTGTATTGTTTTCATTGCAATGCTCTTAGACGACATACAATCCATCTAACCTAGGATGGATTGGCAACAGCTTCTCAGCTGTTCTTACCTATCACCTACCAAAACCTGGAAAAGCTATCTTTTTAAAAACTACAACTGACCACCTCAGCAGGAGGGATTCTGGGACTTGTAGTCCTAAGAAGTACCTTTCTTGAGCTCTAATACCTGGTAATGAAGCATTACTTTCCTATTTCTAGTCCTGAAATGCCTCTATAATGCTAAAGGATTCGGTTCTGTATTATCTGGATTATTGTTTAGGGGAGATCTTAGAGGACCACTCCAAGGTCTTCTGACTTTCTCATCATCTTCTTCATCATAGGAGCCCCAGGTGGCACAGTGGGTTAAACCCCTGTGCCAGCAGGACTGAAGACCGACAGGTCGCAGGTTCGAATCCGGGGAGAGGCAGATGAGCTCCCTCTATCAGCTCCAGCTCCTCATGTGGGGACATGAGAGAAGCCTCCCACAAGGATGATAAAAACATCAAATCATCCGGGTGTCCCCTGGGCAACGTCCTTGCAGACGGCCAATTCTCTCACACCAGGAGTCACTCCTGACATGACAAAAATAATAAATCATCATCACCACCATCATTGTCATCATCATCTAATCAACTTTAACCCCTCATGCCTTTAAAGTGGTATGGTGGCATTTTTGCCATATATTTTAGATCACTCTAGGTCTTTTCAGGCCCAGGAGGCAACATTCTATTCTACCACCTGTTTTTTTAAAAAGTCTTCTCCCACACTGACCCATAGCAGGCCCCAAAATGTGGCCCCATGGCAGCAGCTCTTCAGAATTGTTTCCCCTTCTACCTACTACCTGATCCTCTAGAGAAGTGGTTCTCAACCTGTGGGTACTCAGATGTTTTGGCCTACAACTCCCAGAAATCCCAGCCAGTTACTAGCTGTTAGAATTTCTGGGAGTTGATGGTCAAAACATCCGGAGACCCATGGGTTCTAGAGCAGTGGTTCCCAACCTTTGGTGCCTCCAGGTCTTTTGAACTTCAACTCCCATAAATCCCAGCCAGTTACTAGCTGTTAGAATTTCTGGGAGTTGATGGTCAAAACATCTGGAGACCCATGGGTTCTAGAGCAGTGGTTCCCAGCCTTTGGTGCCTCCAGGTCTTTTGAACTTCAACTCTCAGAAATCTGAGCCAGCTTAAAAGCTGCTGAAGACCAAAATACCTGGAGGTCCAACGGTTGGGAACTACTGCTCTAGAAATTCCAAATATGGAAGCTAAGTTTGGGAAAGCTACCTTTGGACTTTACTTCTGCATATGATCAGTAGGCAGAAGGATTTACAAAGCTGTAGTCCAGAAAAGTAACTTGTCCAAGCTCTGGGATCTTGGGTTGCCCACCTTAATAAAGTAATGGTTCCACTTATAGTCATAGAATCATGGAGTTGGAAGAGACCTCATGGATCATCCAGTCCAATCCCCTGCCAAGAAGCAGGAAAACTGCGTTCAAAGTACCCCCGACAGATGGCTAGCCAGCCTCTGTTTAAAAGCCTCCATAGAAGGAGCCTCCACCACACTTTGGGGCAGAGAGTTCCACTGCTGAACAGCTCTCACAGTCAGGAAGTTCTTCCTAATGTTCAGGTGGAATCTCTTTTCTGTAGTTTGAAGCCATTGTTCTGCATCCTAGTCTTCAGGGCAGCAGAAAACAAGCTTTCTCCCTCCTTCCTATGACTTCCCCTCACATATTGATACATGGCTATTAGGCTTGGGCGGTTTCGTTCGTTAATTTCGTAATTCGTTATTAATTCGTATTTAAATTAGCTTACGATCCAATATTGAGCCATGCAGGAATTGTGTGAGGAGTAATAAAGATTCGAAACAATTTTTTCAATTTATTTCGTAATTATTTCGTAATTATTTCGTAATTATTTTCGCATGTCTGGTGCAAGTTTTATAGTTGTTGTTTGTTTTATCACACCAACAGTCAACAACAGAGGGAGAGGGAAGCTTCAGAAGTTCCTCCTGTCCCATTTGGAGGTTTTTTTAGCATATTGCGCAATCTCGTCCGCCATTAACGAATCGATTCGTAATTTTACGAAATTTCCTAAACTTCGAATTTTTTAAAAAAAACGAAACGCAAGGGCCCCCTAAAAACGAAACGAGTTTAGAACCAAATTTTTCCGTAGTTACCCAAGCCTAATGGCTATCATATCCCCTCTCAGCCTTCTCTTCTTCAGGCTAAACATGCCCAGCTCCTTAAGCCGCTCCTCATAGGGCTTGTTCTCCAGATCCTTGATCATTTTACTCACCCTCCTCTGGACACATTCCAGCTTGTCAATATCTCTCTTGAATTGTGGTGCCCAGAATTGGACACAATATTCCAGGTGTGGTCTAACCACAGAATAGAGGGTAGCATGACTCTTGAACCATTTGTGCAAAGGTGTTGAAAGGGGACTGGAAAATAGTCTGTGACTCATTACACAGCAACAGTCGTGCTATGGGGCAGCAGAAGGGAAGTGAGAGGATTGCTTTAATGTCCCCACCAGGTGGGCTTCCGAGCTGGGACTTGGGGAGGGCTGCTGGCCCACTTTCCCCATGAATCTAGACTGGCCTGATGAGGCGGCCAGTCTCAGGGGACCATTAACTCATGTTAGTCCTCCAATCCACCTGACAGCTCTAATTTTTTCCTGGGCAAAGAGCCAC